ATAAGTTCATCATGGGGGCACAGAAGGGAATTGGTGAGGCTTTACTCACCAAGGCGCCCCTGGGGTTTACAAGAAATAATGGCCATAAGCTAGCAGAGAGCAGATTTAGACTAGACATTAGGAAGAACTTCTTCACAGTTAGAGTGGCCAAAGTCTGGGCTCCCAAGGGAGGTGGTGCTCTCCCCTACCCTGGGGGTCTTCAAGAGGTGGTTAGATAGGCATCTAGCTGGGGTCGGGTCGGACTCAATGCTCTATTAAGGTCCCTTCCGACCCTAACATCTATGAATCTACGAGGAAAAATTCTCAGTTTCATAGGCATTAGGGCTGGAAGGGACCTCGTGAGATCATCAGGTCCAGGCCCCTGCCCAAGGGGTAGGAAGTCAGTGGGGGGTCAGATCACTTCTGAAGCGTCAGTGGGAACCAATGGAGTTAACAGCAGTTGAGGATACACTGGAACCTGGTGTGCTTAGCTGGTATAAAAAGGGTTTAAAGACTAGATAGAGCTGCTGAATGCAGTTCATTTCTCATGTTCAACATTTACAAAACCATTAGTCCCCCTCTTTCTCCCTACAATTTTGCTTCGTTTCTCTGAGGCAGAATGCTGTTTTCATAGTGTAAATTATGCTTCTGCAGGCAGTGAAGTTCCTCACTTACCCTGATGCAGCTACGATCTGTAGCTAAAACTAATTATATAGACCCATTTGGGAATCTCCTTGGACTTTTCTCAGTGGCACAGATGATTTCCTTGTGGACAGTGAACCTGTTCGTGAGCTATTCCTGTTCCAAACACAAAGGCCTCTCAACTTCAGTAACAGTTTTTAAAATAAAAACACCTAGAGCCAAAGACACCAAACTTACACAAGACTTTAGTTGGGGACACACAGTCATGGCCATATCTGGGCTCCAATGGTCATTTCAATGGAAGCTCAATGTGACATTCTATCTCCCGATGAAAACACCAGAGTCTGGAATAGACTCCCCTCAGAGGTGGTACAGTCACCTTCCCTGGGGATCTTCAAAAGACAACTGGACACACACCTCACTGGGGTCATCTGTCCTCAGCAGTCTTTCCTGCCTTGAGCAGAGGGACTGGACCTGATGATCTCTGAGGTCCCTTTCAGCCCCTAACTTCTGTGAAACTACTTTCTAAAATGACTATACCAAATGTGAACAAATATAAGTCTTACAAAACACTAGTCAGGAGTGACTAGAAATAACGGTCACAAGCTGGCAGAGGGTAGATTCAGACTAGACATCAGGAGGCGCTACTCCACTGTCAGGGCAGCTAGGATCTGGAACCAACTTCCAAGGGAAGTGGTGCTGGCTCCTACCCTGGGGGTCTTTAAGAGGAGGTTAGACGAACACCTGGCTGGGGTCGTTTGATCCCAGTACTTTTTCCGCCCATGGCAAGGGATCGGACTTGATGATCTACTCAGGTCCCTTCCCACCCTACCAACTATGAAACTATGAATTTGCTGCCTTAATGAGTTAGTCTATAAGGTGCAGCTGCCCAGCCTTCTACTTCAAACTTAACACAGCTAATTGACTCTGTATAGGGTCTTAGCCTGTTAATCCAAATCTCATGCTCAGAGCTGGAAACAGAGACCTACCAAGTAGAATTGCACCCTGCCCCATCTCTAATCTCCCGTACCTGCCCAGCTCTGAGAAGCCGGTCATAGGAAATGCACCATCCAATCAGAATGGATCTTGTGCATGGATCTTTGTCATCCTCCTTACCAGTCATACTGCAAAAAGAGCCTGTGCTCATGCAGAGAAGCTCTTAGCAATAACCATCTTGCTCAAGCAGAGCTTCAAGCCTGCTTTACTGAACTCCTAATCATGCAGGTGGACCTGCGTGGGGGGGGATTTACAAAGGCATCTAAGCCTTTGTAGGTACCTAGCTTGGTACCTAGCTTGGTACCTAGCTCGCACTGAGTAAATGGAAGCCTGAGCTCCCCCGATGCCCCTCTCGGTACTGGCATACCCTGCCAGGCTGCCGCTCAACCCCTACGGACAAGTAACGGGACGCCAAGGACGCTGGTCTCAAGCCCGAACCGCTTCACCTCCCGCTGCTTACATAACGCCAGCAGCGCTCAACCCAGCCCGCCTGGC